GGTGCTGCACCCTCCTCCACATTTTTTCCCCAACTATCTTTCACCTTGCTCAAATAGCTACTGTATCCTTGGCAGGCACCTTCAGTTTTTGCAAGTAATTCTCTCCTTGGAGGCATGTTGTTGTATAGTTCCCCTCCTAACTTTAATTCATTCTGAAAAAATTTAGACAATTCATTTTTTGTCTACATCACTTTCTGTTTTCCCTCACTCCTTCCCCTTCCTAATCCATTCATACACAACACTTCAGTTTATGTGTACTTAATGGTGGGTTAAGGATTAAAGGGAAAGTGGCCTGGGGCGGTTACTTCAAGGTAGCACTGTTCTCATGAATAGCAAAGAAGGTTTTCATATGCATTGTATTCATTTTCTTTAGAGAACTGGAAATTTGTCCTCAGCCTCTAAACAAAAGAAAAAGTCCCGAATTGTATCTGTCTATAAAACCTCATCTCTGTGCTGTGTATTACCCTAAGACTTAAAAAAATAAGGTTCTTTTATCTTCATATCATTCAATGGTAAAGTGAATTTAAGAATGATTGACCCAATACAATGGTACACCCCTGTATCCCTGGCTACCTGGGAGCCTGAATAGGAGGATGACAAAATCAAGGCCAGTATGGGCAACTTAGACCCAGTCTCAAAAATGGAAGGGGTACTGCTAGGAGCCGAGCATTGAGCACATCCAAATTTTTTCCTAGCGACTTGGGAAGCTGAAGCAGTAGGATTGCCAAGTTTGGGTCCAGCCTCAGCAACTTAGAAAAAAAAACTGGCTCAGTGGTAGAATGCTCCTGGGTTCAAGACACCCAATACTAATAAGGATAAGGGAAAAAAAAAAAAGGAGTGAAAAATTAAAAAGCAAGGGCAACTATAGGAGTTCAGCTACAGATTTTAAAAAATCTACTTAATGGTTATCTTTGTGTATGTGTGTGTATGGTTCTGGGCTTCATACATGCTAGGCAAGAGTTCTACTACTGAGCTATGTTCCCAGCCCAATTTTTATAGTACCTTTAAGTAGCCTTAAAAATAGTACAAAGTAGAAAATAGGTGATAAAATTTAGCTTTAAAACAGTCTGCCTTCAGTCTTAAGTTTTTGTTGTTGATACATTTTTCACATGTTTTGATAACATTTTCTTAATAGAAAGTATGGAGACATTTCATACTATAGTATGTCTTAGTTTGTAATTTTTTTCCCCAAACTTGGTCAGGTAAAAGTATGATAAATATTAAAAATCAAATAAATATTAGAAAGTACCAACAAATGAAAGCTTAGTTTACCTTGAATCTCTTTACCAGTTATTACTACCAATTGTGTTCTGAAAACTTGTAGAACAAGAGACAAGATAAAAAAATTTTAAGTTTGAAGGAATTTGTACATTTTTTAAGAGAGAGAGAGACGAGAGAGAATTTTAATATTTTTATTTTTTAGTTTTTGGCGGACACAACATCTTTGTTTGTATGTGGTGCTGAGGATCGAACCTGGGACACACACATGCCAGGCGAGCGCGCTACCGCTTGAGCCACATCCCCAGCCCGGAATTTGTAAATCTTATGATTAGGAGAATCAGCATTCCATGTGAAAGGAATATTATAAATAAATGTATGGGGGGATAGTTGTTAACATAAAATGACCATAGCTGAGTTTGACAAATGTATAAGGCAATTAAAGAGGATAGTGGAACACATGGCTAAATGGGTAGGTTGTTTCAACATGATATGAATGTGTAGGGTGCAAGGGGAGCCTTTAATTCAAGGCCATGGAATTTAGACATTAGTAATAGATAGTAAAGAAAGAGTAAAGGTTTTTTAGCTAGCAGAAGGGAAAAGAGGGAGAAGGGAACTGAAATTGTTTAGTACAGTAAACAGCAACTGACAGATGGTGTAAGGGAAGGGAGACAGGGAAAAGGTGGCTGTAGAATTGGAGAAATTAAAAATGTAACTAAAACAGTTACTTGAGGGAAGAATGGCCCAGAAATCAAAAAGTGAGATAGTAACAAAAACATGAGATAATAGGATTGGTTAAGTAGTGACAAAATTCAAGCCAATTAATGATGGGATCGGTGAATAAATGGGAGGTTTCATGGAGAAATTTAGAGATAGGATGGTGGTAGTGAAATAGAACTTAAATGCATTCTTTATGGTTAGCATAAGTATTTAAAAAAAAAAAGATTATAGATTTGGTTACATGGAGGGTAAGGGGAGAGAGGATGAGCATGCAGTGCCCTACCACTACATTTAGACTAGTAGGAGAGAAAGGGAAGACAGAAAGGCATTACAAATTTGTGAAGCCAGAGATTAAGGAAGATGAAGATGAAAAAAAAATGTGACAGAAAATCAGGAGAATTTAAAAGGAAGGAATTCTGAAGGTGGGGAGTGGGGTGGGTGATGGTGTATGAAACATCCTGGATCGGATAGGTCTGGGTTCACAAACACCCAAATACTTACCAGCTCTGAACTTGGCAAGACACCAACTATGAGTTGGTTTCCTGATCTATAAAATGATGACATTGGCCACATTATACCATCTTTGAGAGGAATGGAGCTTTACACACCCTCACCCCTATCCACCCCCAGCTCTGTATAATATATAAAGTGTTCAATAAATAGTTTTTCCTTATTTTCAGGACCCCCCCTCCCAACATATGAGATTCTGGCAAGCAACTAAACTAAGAGATGAGATTCTAATCATAAGCAGCTGAAGAGCTAGCCTTGCAGTTTCAGATGGTGAGAGGGTGTAGTTTCCTGGTTTTTACTGAACAACAATAGGTGGGTGACTCTTCCCTTGCACTGTTAACTGGAGCTAAAACGTTTAAGTTCAGCTATTTTTATTAATATGGACTTTAATCAAACAAAACCAGCTGTGGACTGAAGGAAGTTCTTTGTAAAGTTGTATGGAAAAACAACCCATTGTTCTAGATTTAGTTAGGTTAAACCCCCAACTAAAAATAAAGTGAATCTAGTTACAACAGCAACAATATTAAAATAAAACAAACTATTATTGATTCTACAGCCTCAATCTTCATACAATACAATATCACTGCATGAAAATAAATTAAAATTCTAAGAATTACAATGGGATTTTACCAGTTGTTTGTGTTCAAGTTCATACAACAACAACACACACACACATACACACACACACACACACACACACACACACACGGAAACAGCCCAGATACCAGTGATCCACAGATAGACAACTTTTTAATAATTAGAAAAATTAGTGCTCACACTATATCCTATGTGTAGAAGAAATCATTTTTACATAATGATTTTGACTTAGCTGTATACAATATTTTAAGATACTGTAAAAGATATATTTGGCACAAAGACTGTTAGATGTTTATACTGCGTAAAGTGAATCGTTTGATATCTAGCCTTTAATAGCTTAAAAAAGAAGCTTTTCCTCTATTTAGTGAAGTTAAGGCACTACTTAAGTTTCCTCTTATAATATGAATTTGTGTTATTTAAATTAAAGCAGCATTTAGAAAAATTTATAGATAGGTGTTTTCCATGGGTTGCCACCAGGAGTTGGGAAACTATGCCTGTGGGCCAAATCCTGCTTGTGCTTGCTACATTTCTATTGGGATGCAGAAATGCTCATTTTTGTGGCTGCTTTTGGGTGACAATGGCAGAGTCTAGTAGTTGTAGCAGGAGCCATATGGTTTAAAATATATACTATCTTGCCCTTTATAGAAAGTTTGCTAATCGCTAATAGTGATAATTTGATTTTGGGGGCAGAACATGTTATAGAAACCAGAAAGGACTCTAGTGAGGAGCATCAAATGCCACAGACAAGTCAAAGGGAGCAGGCTGACAAAAGGCATCTTCCCAGTGACCTGGTGTCCAGGTCCACAGCAGGCATTCGCTGAGTGCTTAATCCATTTGCTCAGTGAAAGCTGGGGCTCTGCTTTGCTACTGGGTGAAAAGAGCAGATTCCTCTGAAAATGACTTAATGGTGGCCAGAGTTGTCAAAAGTCATGAATCAACTTTTCATCTAGATTTTCCTGGAATAACAGGATATGCTGTAGCCATATTTTGTTTTTAATATGGATTAAATAATCAAAAGCAGTTCTAAAAGATACTGCTTTTTTTTTTACACAGCTTAATTGCTCTTACTATTAAGTGACCTGTTGGAATTTTCATATTCTAACACTAGTTGGAGGTTTTTATGGTTAATCAGTTCAGAAAACAGATGGTTAGACCCATTTTTTATTTCAACCATCATTCCTCAAGTGCCTTTTATGGCTCAAGCAGGTGCCAGAGGCAGGGAGTGGCAGTGAGTTCATTTCCTTATATTTTATTTACCAGATAACCACTTATTTCCTAATCCCTGATTTGCCATAAAAAGGATTGGCAACCCCATGGCTTTAACAGTGTAGGACTTGATCCAGCCCAGAATTTCAATGAATGATTTTCAGAGACAGAGATTTGAAGCCACCACTCATGCAGCAAAAGATACCTGCAAAGTTGTGTGGGCTCCACTGTTGAGCCTTGATGTCAAGGTCATGGAGCCTCTTCAAAGGAGTCTTAGGGAAAGGAAATAGCAGCAAGCATCAGTGGGGATAAAATAAGCCCATTTGGGTTTGTATTTACTTCTCAAAATTATAAGTAACACACACCAGGTGAGTCCTATGCACACCTGTGAGCCCTGGTCATTAGCTATTTCTCTTCATGTCACTTTTGGTTCTCAGAAATGAAAGTAAATACAAAGTGCAAACCCTTGGGTATAAGACCCAACCTCACTGCCTCCCTTTTGTGGGTACATTAGTGATACATGAGCAATGGAATAAGGATTATATTATAAAGAGGATTTTGGTAGAAATGAGACCAGAGAATCCTTTTGCATCTATCAGTATTTTCTTAACCTCCTAGATAACACTCTTGCACACAGGGTGTCTGCAGGTTGTATTTGCTTGATTTGTGGATTAACTTCACAATCAGTATGATGTAATAACTTTCTCTAGAAGTTAGAACATTAGTTAACATTTCACAAATATCAAAATATTTTAAAGTAATTTGATTCCTGTTCTTTAGTCCAGACAAAAGAAGCCAGATCATATTTTGGATAATGACAGAACTATTTGCTTAAAATAACAATTTTAGGTAAATCAAGTCATAAAAAACCATAATGAAATATCAATTTCATTTTGTTATGTACCTCTTTGCAAATTAAGACAAAGCAGAGTTTTATAATACTTTAATATCTGTAACAACTGTGGTTTTGGTGTATCTTAAAAGTAGAATTCTTTTAAATTATGAAGGATTTTGTGTGCTTGAAATCCTAGGGGAAAAAAGAAAACAAATCAAGGTTAAATATAATATACTAATACATATTTAAGGAAATACATATAAGCCTTTTGAATATCAAACTATATCCATTATAAGAATCATGGAGATAAAAACCATCACATATTTAATGAAATCTGTTTTATGGGGATTTAAATAAGTAAATACCAGGAGACAAGGTACTTGAAATTATGTCTAGAAAGTGAGGAAGCAGGACTGGAAGTTAAAAATAGTGTTGCTTAGGGGTATGCTACTGGCATCTAGCGGGGCAGAAGCCAGAGCTGTTGCTACACATCCTGCAGTATATGACAGCCTGCACAACACAGAGTGATGAGGCTCAGAGTTGTCAGGTTAAAAACCCAGCTGAATATAAGGTAGAATTGAAGGGGACTAACTCTGAGATAATGACTGGCAACAGAGAGAAAGAAAGGAAAAAAGGAAAAGTCTTTCTTTTCTTTCAACTTAGTTACAACATTCCTTTCAGTGTTGGGTGGGATGGGATTATTTTGTTCCATAAATTATAGGAATGAGTATGAAGTTACACATTGTTTATTCCCTAATTATATAACAATATGCTTTCAGTGTAGTAAATTATATATAAATATATGGGGATTTCGGTGATAGATTCTGGAGTAAATGAATTTTAAAAATCAAAGTTTTATATTAAATTTGTGAAATTTTTATGGAGCAATAAATCAGTGTTAAATATTAGTGTCCATTAGGCTCACAGTATTTAAAATACTAATGTCCATGCCTCACCCTAAGCTCTACTGAAAGGAAATCTAAGAATCTCTGCTCTAGAGTGTTGAGGAATTCTGGGAACCCTCTGGTTTTCAAGCGGGAGTTAAGACCTTAAAAACATTAGAAACTCCTCTTCCCTCACTATATTCCTCAAAAAAATAACCCAGAAAGTTTAATGTCACTTAAAAACTATAAAACGTAAGCAATAATGTTCTCTAAACCATCAGAGTCAGATCCTTATTGCCTTTCTAGGACTTCTAAAATCCTCTTAGCCCTAGCAGAGGATATTTCATATTCTTAAATTTCCCAAGTGCCTTTGAATAACCAAAGGCAAATCCTAGAACCACAGATCTGCTGGGAGTGATCTATTTAAAGCGTTAGGAAAACAAGGTACCTGACTCCAGCTGCACCATTTCCATCCCATATGAACTTAAGCCTTAACCTCCTCATCTATCAAATAGAGTTGAAAACTGCAGGCCTAGTGATCTTAAGGAGGCAGACTGATAATAGAATATACTATAAGAGAAAAAGAACAATATGATAAAGATCACTTCCTGTAATTGATCTACAAATGCTGAGCTACCTTATCATGCTATACCAGTGGGGGGAAGGAAGCCAGTGTTCACTTACATCTTTCTAGATGCCAGTAGTAGACAGTAATACAAAGTACATTAAAAGTGAAAATTCACAACTTCCATATGACTGCTTCATTTCCCTTCCCTATTCATATGTCCTGTAAATATACATTTAAAATACTCACATTTTCACTCATTGTAGGGGCTTTAGATGAAGAACTACCCTTCCTGTTTGTGGAAAATAAGAGACAGGATTTACTGCATTATCACCTCCCATTCTGAAACACTATCCTCATTTAGTTAACATTACCTCCATACATTTTATCAGCAGGAAGATGAATATTTATGTTAGCCAATAACTATAACCAAATTTCTTGTATTTATAGGCAATATTCACAGAGAAAGCCATGCAACAAAGTACCCATGAGTGAAGCCCTGTGCATCTAAATGTAGCCCATGGCTAATATACTAATGATTTTTGTGCAATTATTGCTATGTAACTTAATATATTAACATTAAGCATTTTGAAAGCTTAATTATTGTAATCTCAAAATTCACTTTTATTAATAGAAAGATTTACATGTGACTGGGGTTGCAGTAGAATTCCAATAAATTTTAAAAGCTGTAGACTTAATGAACAGGAGGAAAGGTGTCAAGGAATAAATATACTCCTTTCCAAAATATTATCTGGTTTTGTAGAGACATTAATTCAAAAAAGCATTAAACTCCTTCACTGCTTATGTAATATGAGATCTCTCTGCTCAAAACCCTCCAATTATTTTCATCTTTCTCAATAAAATGGAAGTCCTTGCAACTGCCTGGGGGTCGGGTGGGATGGGGTGGGGTGGTGGCTACACATTCAGGCTACCCCGCTCTTCTGAACTCACCTCCTTTGCTACTCCTAGTCCTGATAACTTGGATTTCACCCTGGATTTGTACTGGGATATTATGAGGGGTGGGACCAGGCATCTGGGAACAGGAAATCAATGGTAGCTAAGTCTTCAAAAGATGTAGATGACAGTGTATCTGAAACCATGGCAGCTGGGAATAGAGGAGAGAGCCCTTAGACTCACAGTAGGGACTGCCATGTCCATATGTACAGGAAGGACAGTCACAAATCAAGCACACATAAACAGGGACTTTGGTGATCTCATTCATATCTCATATACCAATGATTCCTACATTTCCATCTCCAGTGAAACTATTTCCCCAAACTCCAAAATCGAATATTCAGATACTTAATGATTAGCTATACTTGGAAGTCTAATAAGTTTATTGAGTATTAAAATTCCAAATACTGCAGACCTCTTCATCTACCCTACCACCACTTCCAAGGCCACTCCTCCTAAAATGTTCCAAACTTCCATAAATGGAAACTCTATCCTTCTCATAACCTTGAAGCTACCTTCCATTGCTTTCTTTTTCTCACAGCCCATATCCAACAGATCAGCAAATAGTTAAACACACACACACACACACACACACACACACACACACACACACACATCTCCAGAATTCTATCACTTTTCAACATCTCCAACACTGCTGCTTTGGTACCAACTGCTATTTTCTTTCTTTTTTTAATTGGCACATTATTAGGTATAATAGTAGGATTCATTATGCCATATTCATAAATGCAATTAACATAATTTGATCAATCTCATTCCCCAGTATCTTCCCTTTCTTTCTCCTCCTCCCTCCCCAAATCCAGCTACCATTTTCTCTTGCCTTGAGTATTGCAGTAGCTTCCTAACTGGTCATGAGGTAACACCCCTTGTTACCTCATGGTTTACTCTAAACAGAGCAGCCAAATGGAACTTTTGAAGAATTAGGTAAGATCATGCTATTCTTCCACTCACAGCCCTCCAATGACTTCCTATTTTAACTAAGTACCAACATTTAACTGCTCAAAACTTCCTGGGAAGGTCTCCATACAATCTGACCTCTTTTGTATACTCATCTCCTTCTATCTGTTTCCTATATTCTGTTCAAGTCACACTGATCTCCTTGATATCCCTTAGACATTTTAGCCATGTTTGGTCTTAAGCTCTACTACAGTTTGAATTCTGGATGCCCCCAAAGGTCCATATGTTGAAAGCTTGGTTCCTAGCATGCAAAGCTCTTGGGAAGTGGTAGAATCTTTAGGAGGTGGGGCCAAGTGTGATGCAATTAGTCATTGAGGACAGGCACAAAAAGGAGATATTGGAAGATATTCCCTCTTCTTCCTCTCTCTTTTGCTTTCTGGCCCCCATGAAGTGAACAGATTTGTCCAACCTCACACCCCCTGCCTCAACATGCTGCCTCACCACAGGCCCAAAAGCAACCAGGTCAACTGATCTTAGACTGAAACTTGTAAAACATTTTCTGTCTTTAACCTGATTATCCCAGATATTTGTTATAGTAATGGAAAGTTAGCTCACTCAAGCTCTTTCTGTTTCCTGCCATGAACATTCTTTTCATGGATATCTGCATGACTTGCTCTCTCACCTCCTAAGGTCTTTCTCAGACATCGCCTTTGAGGGAAGCCCTTCCTGACTATCCTATTTAAAATAATTTTCATTCCTACCTTGTGCATTCCCTATCCTCTTACTTGCTTTATTTTTCTCCATATTGCTTAACACAATCTGACATACTGTATACTACACATATTTGTTGACTTTCTGCCTTTCTTTACTAGTATATAAGTTCTATTAAGCAGTATTTTGTGAACTTTTTTGGTCTTGTTTTGTGTACTACTATTTTGCCAGTCCTTAAAACATTGTTGTCAAATAGATAATTAAATGTAAAAAATGACCTAGTAAAATTTTATTTAAAAAATTTAAATTTAGCAAAATGCAGTAAATGCATATATATTTTAAAATAGTACTAAGGGAATGCTTATAATGTCAAATTAATGCCCATGATTCTTCTCTTGGTAATTACTCATCATTTACAAAAAGGCATGAGGCATGAGGCAGAATGTATTCTTGACATATTTGAGAAACTCCCTAGAAATACACCTACAGAAATAACCCAATATCCCACTTTTGACTGTAAACAGATAAATAATAGAATAACAGTGGATATAGGGAAAGGCATGCATTTTAAGAAAATATACTTACTGGAAGGAAGTTTCTTCTACAAAAAGAATAAGTATATAAATCATTAATGCAAGAATTCATATGGGATGACAGATTTATTTAAATACAAGTTTGCTTAATGTCTTTTTAATCTCAATCCTCACTTGCTGACATTTATACCTTCTAAATCAAGGGTTGGCAAACTTTCAGCAAATATTTTAAGCTATGTTGTCCCAGAGGCAAAAGTAAGGATACTATTTAGGTACTTATAAAACAAGAAAGAAAATAAATGTCCAAATTTTTATTGATAAAATTTAAAGTATAATAATAAAGTTTTATAATACAAGTCCTAATAGTTGGAAAAATAGAACTCATTGTGAGGGATATCATTTCTTTTAATTAGGATTCAAATTAGTGTTTCCTATCATTAAATAATTGCAAACTTTTATCTTTAAAAGTTTTGGGGCCTCAGAAAATCAGGTGGGGGGCCAGATTTGTCTCTGGGTCAAAATTTGCCAACTTCTGTCCTAAACACAAGTTCAAGAATATGGTTCTCTTGGGTAGGTTTTCTCCCAGATGAAAAAGTGAATAACATTATTAGCTAATAACCCTTAATATACAAATTAACTCTTTAATTCAGTATTTGAAGAAAAATTTGTTTGCCAGCTCCTCATTAAAAATACTCATACAAACAAATAAAAAAAGACTCATACAGGGTCTGGGGTTGTGGCTCAGTGGTAGAGCGCATGTGTGAGGCACTGGATTAGATCCTCAGCACCACATATAAATAAATAAAATAAAAGTATTATGTCTATCTACAATGAAAAAGTTTTTTAAAAAATACTTATACAGGCATTCATTGCAAGTATAAATACAGACTACAAGAATTTTGAGTAAGTAATCTTATTTGCAGTACTTTCACTGGTGACCAGCAGGGGGTCTCGGCTAGAGTCCATTCATAAAATTACATTATGTGGGATTAAATTGAAGCAGTATAAACAAGAATAATACTATTAGTTCACAGAACAATTGTTCTTATTTATAGGGAATGTCCTTGAATCCATGTTTATGGAAATACTTTATTACATTCAATATCTATTTATAAATATTATTTAAAACTCCTCTTAAATTTAATTTTTATTTTGGTATAAATTATTTTTAAACCCATATTCTAAAATTAATGCTCTTTATAAAATAGTGGGTCTAATATTTAATTCATGCTATGAATTTATTTATTATTCCATTTAAAGATTCAACTTATACACTATTGCCAAAGGACCTAATGGAGTTCTACAGTTTTGAGATGATTTTAAAGACTGGAAATAAAGAAATACATTAGGAGAATAAAACATTATTTTTAAATCTCACCCACTATTCTATCATCAAATGGGTGCTGAAGTTACAACTTTCTTCAAGTTTAACTTGAACTAAAAACCTTGTATGGAAGTGTCTCCAATACTGTAGGTTTCTAGTTTTGATTAAACAATGATCTTCTACAGTTGTGCTAAACTTGACATTCAACATTTCACTGTTCAACACTGATAAAAAAGTTCCTCTGGTTTATTTCAATAAAATTGCTTATAAAAATTGAAATACTCAATTCCTAATTTAAAATAAGAGGGTCTAGCATGCACATAAATATACCACAATCTATATTGAATGTCTGTCTCTACACTATGCCACTCCAAGGATACCACTCACACATGCTATGGTGTTGCTTAGAATTTTGCAACATGACTGCTTTGTTCTTTTTTCTCCAAGATGCTTCACAACCCACCTGCATATTACCTTGAGCATCTTCTATAGCAGAAAATCAGTGAAAAAAAATATTCTCCAGAGTTTGTTAGGACTTTTTAGAAGAAACAGCATTTCATAAGAAGACTATATCCAAAGGAAATTGTGTTATCAAAGAAGGGTGAAATTCACTTACTTGAAAAGTAGCCTTTTCTCTGAGCATAGCACACACCAAGGCCACACACAGAAATCACTAAGGCCACAACTACCACAGCTGCTATGATGCCACTTATGTTGAGATCATCTGGAAGTGAAATATACCATGCATAAATTCACATCACATAGATGGACAGACTTCATCATTAAGTTGAAAGGACTCAACAAACTCCACTTTGCAGCTATGCTAAAAAGCATAGTTTCAAGACTTTGAAGCCTGTTCAACAATTCCAAGGCATAGCACAAAATTGATTGAAAATGTTGACAGAACTAAGTTTCGCAAGAGTCTTAAATTTTTAAAAGTCCTGTGGTCAAGAAAGAGAATGTATGACATTCTTTTGCATTCATTTGGAAATGTAGTAATTCAGAGTTAAATATCATAGTTTCTAACTATCTTTTTCCATATTTTTATTGGTTCATTATAATTGTACATAATGAGTTTGTTGTTACATATTCATACATTGCACACAATAGAAGCAATCTTTGAAGTTGGATGATTTGAAATATTCTATTGTGGCTCCTCTGCCACCAATTTTACTTTAAATTCTTCTATATCATCCTATGTGTCAATTTCACAAATAATGAAAAACTCAGTCTCTAAGAGAGCAGATGCCACTGCTATTCTATAAAACTGTCAGAAAGACCTTCCTTCTTGAATTGACTGGTTGTGTTGTATGTATGTGTGTATCACATACATATGTACCACTAAATTGTTATCCCATGGAGTTTAAAATAAATTAAACTCAATGAAGCAAACACACTTTTCTCTTTGCTATAAAGTTAACTCTTCTCTATCCTAATACAAGTAGATTTTTTGGACTAAGTTTGGAATTGCTACCATGTTACAAACTTATGAGTTTTTTTCTGGATTGATTCTATTACCCAATAATTAAATTATTAAACTTCCAAGCTTAATACTTCTGCAAATTGGACACTGTATCAAAGATACCCTTTATTCAAGTCATTAATAAAATGATGAGCATAACTGTTCCTCAACAATGTAACAGACTTATAGATACCTTCCTTCATATACCACAATTTACCAGTATGCCTGGAATGTGTGATTCAAGGAATGTATAAATCCTAACACTATTACATCACATTTTTCCATCCTGACTACAGGAATTTCATGACCCACACTCTTGTTATTCAGATACATTTTTTTTGCATTTATTAAAGAAGCGATTCCTAAAGAGTTACACCCCTTGTCCAACGTTGAGGCTCAAACCCAAGAGATCTTGTGCATGCTAAGCAAGTGCTATACCACTGAGCTATACCCCAAGCCCTTAAAAAAATTTTTTTTTTTTCTAAACAGGAGACATGATAGATGAATCTTCCAAAAGGCTAATTTGACCAGAGTAAAAAACACCAATTACTTGGTATAGATTCAGCTCATATTTGGTTGGCCACTGAGAGGTCAAGGTCAATGAAATTCTCCTATTTATTTACTTGATTAAAAAACAGAAAAGAGGGCCAAAAATCCATAGTAATCAGAATTAAGGAAAAATTAAGTCAATAGCTAAATGAATTCCTGAGAACCAAACTGTGCCTACTATTTTTTATAGTAGCCAATAAATTTGACATCTACAAAGTATTCAAGTCTAATGGTTATTACAAAAACAAATCCTTTTAGTTTGCAATGAATTTGACATCTATGAAAGATTAACCTTAAAAGAAAAATTCTGACAAAAAATCCTTTCAGCCTGTAAGTGCTAAATCATGCAGTGGACTTTAAGTTGTTTTCTTCAATGGAATGGAAGATAGAAGAGTAGTAAGTTAGAGGTAAGCTGTTTTCATCCAATTGCTATTTTCTGTGAGATATTGAGCAAGACATACAACTCAGTGAAGAGAAAATGTAGCAATAGATATTTTTGTATTCTTGAAAAGTTTTGTATTCTTTCGCTGAAAAAAAATTTTTTTAAAAGAAGAAGGCCACCATTAAAGGAAGGTATTATTATTCTCACTGAAAGGAACCAGACTGCTAAAAGGCCAAGGAGGCAGCTGTACAATAAACCAGTCTGGGAATGATCAGCAAATCCATGTTTGATTTTCCTTCTATGCTTCAAAAAGAATTTCTTTAAGAGAGTTAACAGATTCTGGTTTTCATTACAAAATACCAGGGGTATGTCATGAAGAAAATGAATTTATATTTATTTCAGAAGAAGAAAATTAATAAACCAAAGTTGTGAAACACTGAGGCTCAATGAATGAGCATTAAACAAACTAATTTTAACATTTAAGCTAACTCACACCTAGAAAGAAAAGATGCATAGAAATCATGTACAAATTAAATCAGTAACCAGGGAAACAAACTTTTAAATTCGTGCACCCCCATATCTGCAGTGATCTATATTCACTGAAAAAGTGAATTTCTGCTCCATAAAGTTGAGGACAAGTTCCTGCAACCAGGCCGACCCTCAATATTCTGTTTTAGGGTGCAGCCATCCTGAGTGAACTTTAACCCCTTGGTGCCATTTCTAGCACATCCCTTCATCACACACAACTATATTCAAAACACTGGCTGTTTTTTTTTAAATATATATATTTTTATTTGTAGGTGGACACGGTGCCTTTATTTTTATTTATTTATTTTTATGTGGTGCTGAGGATTGAACCCAGTGCCTCATCCACACTAGCATTCTACCACTGAGCCACAACCCCAACCCCTCAAAACACTGACTCCTACTACAAGGAAGAATTAAGTCAAAATATTGAAAATTAAATTTAAAGGGCTGGGGATGTGGCTCAAGCAGTAGCGCGCTCGCCTGGCATGCGTGCGGCCCGGGTTCGATCCTCAACACCACATACAAACAAAGATGTTGTGTCCGCCAAGAACTGAAAAATAAATATTTAAAAATTTATTAAAAAAAAGAAAATTAAATTTTAAAAAAATAATGTGTTTTGAAACTTATATTACTTAGAAAAGATTATTAAGTGCTAATTTATTGAACTCTAAAATTAAAAGTTATTTTGTGATATGTAGCATATGTGTGGCAGTTATGTTTTATAGCAACCTAGGTCTTAGGTATTCCACGTCTTTTTAGAGAGACTACTCTGCCATATGTATAATTAGAAAAAATTATCAACAACTCTTTAACATAGCTGAAACTTATATAATGCTCATAGTGTGCAAGCACTGTTCTAACACTTTCAAACATGGAGTACTTTAATCTTCATAGCAGCACTGTGAGGAATATATATTACTACTTCCATTTTTGGGAAACGAAGCATAAAGGTTGAATAACTTGCTTAAGAGGAGTCAGCTAATAATTGGCAGAGCTGTAAAATGAACTCCCATACAGACTCCTGGATCCACAGCAATTTACAATTTACAATAAGACACTTAGCTTTTGTTTGAAAGATTACTCAGAAGAGCGTATTTTAAAAACATTTACTTGAAAAATTAAAACATTTGTTAAATATAATGCTGAATATTCTTGGCTTGATTGGAAGACAGATTAAAAATAGCATTTCTGCTTCTTTGCTATATCAAGATAATTTTCAACTTTACCACCTACTTATCTCTCAAATCACTCAACCCTTTCTTACCCTTTGCTCCTTCTACCCCCCACTGGCACTCTGTAACTGCAAACCATTTCCTCTTCCAATATCTCATGCTTACCTACTTGCATTCGTTTCCCAGGACACCTGCTATATCCAACAGAATTTTGGGCTTCACAGAAGTATTCTCCACTGTCGAGCTTGGAAACAGTGTTAAATTGCTATTTGTGGAAGGAAAAAAAATATATATATATACTTTAAAAGTACAAATCTCAAGTAGGCTCTTAACAACCACATTCCTTGGATTTATCATTAAGCTAGTCTTTCTTTTTTAATGACTCAAAACTTTACATTTTTATTGTGGATTCAAAAATCTACCATAACTTCAAGGAGTAAATAGCTAAACCTCCTGTTTAATTTGAGGAAGTTTTTGTTCTGTTTGCTTTCTTTTGCAATACAAAGAAAGCAGTATGTTTATGAAGGCAGTGGGCATTTTTAAAAGTTTACAGCATCCAACAGTAGCATTTCTAATTCCTGGGAAGCACCACTTACCAATGATGGCCTCTCTGTCAATGTACTTTCTAACTCAAAAGCAAATTCACTGCAGCAGAAAATAATGAATATTTACTCTGAAGAGCCAGAGTTACCACCAGGAAGTAGCTCAAGGCCTAGGAAATCTTCATGGTGCTGTTTACAGGATTATAAATTCTAACAATTGCAGAAGTCTTGAAAATTCTGTAAAGATAAGGTCCAGACCTTGCTCCTTCTACTCCCTACCAAAGCAACTGAAAGGTAAGACCTTTATATGATAGACTTAATGATTTGGAGTTTGTAGCCTTGGGGAATTTCTGGAAAGAATTGAAAGCAAACAGGAAGGAAGGAAGGGAAGGGAGGAGCGAAGGAGGGAAAGAAAAAGGGAAGGGGAGAGGGAGGGAAGGAGGTCCTGAACACCTTAAAGGACCTTGCCAGGACCCCTACAGAGGGTGTGGGGGTACTCAGAATTATTCTTTCAGGACCCTCCTGGTCATATGCTCAGTACTGCAGAGGTCATTGCTGACCTCAGCCATGGGAGCCATGAACCTTTGAGGAGCACCTCCCCATTGTCTTGGATCTTTCTGGAACATATTTTCCTAAGTTAGCCAGGGCTTTGATCTGTTAACACCTTTCCTTTTTCACATTTCTTTACCTACTTCCTATGTCCTTTTTTTTTTTTTTTTTTTAAGTACTTCAACATGGTGGAACAGAAAGCCTTCCCAGGCCTGTTTTCACTTTATAGAATCATCTCTCCATCCCCAGAAAGCCAGAATCCTTTTAGAATCTTCACCATAAACTCAGGGCCATGGTAATGGATAAATAATAAGGTAGACTAAAACCCCAAATGATCTTCCAGCCTATTACTGGTACGTAAAAGGAAGTCACTGGCATCTATACACTAAAGTCTTTGTTTCTCACAAAAGAAGCCATCCTAGTTCAAGCCAGGGCTCTCCTTTGGCCTCATAGGATATTTCAAGGGTTCAGGCTCCCTGAGAAAAGTGAATCTATGTCATTTCAGACTTGCCTTGGGGCTTTTATCACCTGCTCTGAGAAAAAACAAATTTGAAATGTAAATATAGCACAGTGTGACCGCAGGTTTTCTGCCCAGTTTCTCAGTGTAAAATCGCTGGGACCTGCTGACTGCTAAAAGGGCCAAAGCAGGGCCTTTTTCAAGCAGTGGCCACATCTACTGATATACTTTATTATTTGGCTACTGCATCAAATTGGTTTATGTATCAGAAGATCTAGTTTTTAAATGTTATTGTGTACTACTAGGTAGAAGGAATGAAAGACACTTTACATGCTGTCTTCAAAATTCACAAAATTGTTGTTATTACCTCTCCTTTAAGGTTTTGTTTTTTTTTTTTTCCTTTTATTTGTTTGTTTCGTTTTGATATTGGTGCTTGTAGTGATCCTGTGTTGCTAGAAATTAGACATTTTAAAATTGACATATATTATTATTTTGATAGGAAAAATATTTCAAGCTCATTGACTTTTTTTTTTTTCTTTTTGGTGGCACTTGGGGATTAAACCCAGAGCTGTGCACAAGCTAGGAAGCAGTCTATCACTGAATTACATCCCCAGACTTTTAAATTTTATTTTGAGACAGGTACCCAAGATGGCCTTGAATATGAGATCCTCCTGCCTCAGCTTCCGGAGTAGCTGAACCACCATGTGCGCCACTTCACCTGGCTCAATGACCTTTCTTCTTTCCTACCACTAGCCTTAAAAGTCACATAAAAAAGTAAAAATGCTCTTTATTTTAAATGTCATGAGCATTAAGGGATTACTTACAGACTCTCATCAGGAGCCCTAGAAAGATCTTTCAATTAGAATCTTTTCAAGGAGGAAACGATAAAAAAATCTGGGGACTAAACAAAGTAATAGATAACTAAGTTACAGAGACACTGCTGATGAGCTAGAGTCATGGAAAATTTTAATGATGCACACATCTACCACAGGTTGACTGGTCACTGTTTTTACAAGGTTAGTGCCAGGGTCAGGGTATCTCCAAGTGAGCTTTAGTTCATTGCCCTAGTGTTGTATATTGCAACTGCCCTTAGTAACTTTCCAGGCCAGAAAGGTAGCTATAAAGAACTGCTGGGTGTATCATCAGAAAGCAGTATTTGCCTGCCTCAGGTCACTTTTGTGCTCAGCTCTCCGGTTCCCTGTACTGTCTTCTCATCTCACATAGCAGTTCTTTCCATCACTTCTTGGTACAGGTACCATCATCATCTTCCCTGCTACCTTTCTTCTCTCCACTTAGCAAGCAATGGTATCAGTCTTCTATTCTCCATGTTATGGTTTGGCGATAAGGTGTTCCCCAAAAGTATCTGTGTCAATGTAGAAGGTGAAGTGACTGAACTGAGAGAGCTGTAACCTAAACAGTCCATCCTAGTTTGAATAGACTAACTAGGTAGTAGTTCAGTAGTTCGCCTGAGGCAGGTGGGGCATGGACAGAGGAGGTGGGTAGCTAGAGGAACACCCTGAAGGGTTCATTTTCCCATTGCCTGTCCTTCCCCGCCAGTCCTCATTTCCTGAATACCATGAGCTGAGTGGCTTTCCTCCACTGCTGCCCTTCTACCATGATGTTCTGCTTCACCTTGGTCCTACAGCAATGGAGTTACCAACCATGTACCCAACCTCTGAAACTGAGCCAAAATAAACTTTTCCTCCTCTAAGGTTTTCTTTTTGGATATTCTGGTCACAGAAACAAAAGGCTGACTAGCATATCCCAACATCTTAAGTTCTAATAATATTTTTATCCAGATGCCAGGCGGTTATTAGACCAATACTTGAAATGATCTTACCAGAGTTCCAGATTTTGTATTCATTGTATATGAGCTGTTGCTGCTTTGGGAGCCAAGTTTTGGATTTCCTAGTAAACGGTTACCATCCTTAAACCATGTATATTCAGGAGCTGGAATCCCTTCCTTATCTTGACATCGTAGCTCTACCACAGTTCCACTCAGAGCAGAAGTGGGTACTTCACAGGATGGTACTGCTGGAGCCACTGAACAATGAAGTCAAGCAGTAATGGTTACATAAAAGCTGAACATGGATTTTAATAGCCAGGAAAGATGTACTTACAGAGCACTTGTAATAGAGACTGGCTACTTATTTAACAGATCCATTTCCTTTCTTCTTGGGCACATAGTAGACCACATTTGCCAGCCCCTTTGCTACCAGATGGGGTCATATGCATGAGTTCAAGGCAATGGAGTGTGGATAAAAGTTATATAGTTGTTTCCAGGCTTGATCTATAAAAACTCCCTGCATGATTCTCCATTCATTCCCTCAACTTGTCCCATCCCACTAACAAGCAGTTGCCAACATCCATGTTAACCTTGGAAAGCCATGTACTGAAGATGCCAGACCTACATTCAGCTGAGTCTGTAATTACTCATGAAGTAGAGTAATTGGTTACACCACCACCCCTTCCCCAATCATTTAAGCTTTACTTATGTGAGAAAGAAACTTTAATTTTGTTAAGTCACTCAGAGCTCAGGGCTCATTTGTCATAAAAGAAAGCGTTATCTAATTCAATAACTATTCATTTTTAGATAAATAATCTCTTCTGTTTTCCTCACCAGTGATTTAATGTTTATTACCAACTATATTCAAAAGAAGTCGGATATAAAGGTATTTTTTCAGGCCTGGTACCAAACAAAAATCCTATTCTATCTATAATTGACCAAGTTAGAAAATACCAACTCCTGGAATTAGGGTTATTCTGATCTCTGAAACTTGGAAAGTAAAACAGACTTTATTATTAGGTGACCCAATATCCAGGAAAACCCAGAACTATCTAAAATAGGCAGAATTCTAAGATGGTCCCCCAGGATCCCTGTCTTTAGGGGTACATACACATTCTCTCAGTTATTTAGCCAAATCCTAATGTAGGTACTACTGTGGAGGGATTCTGTAGATGTAACTAAGGTCCCAAGTATATGTGGTCTTTAAGATACGGAGATTTCATAGATGGCTTTGACCTAATCACAGAAGCTCTTGAAAGTCAGAGAGCTTTCTCTTCCTAGTTACATAAGGGAAAGCCAGAGATGTAAAGCACAAGAAGGATTCAACAGGCTTTTGCTGCACTGAAAACAAAAGGGACCAAGTGGCAAGGAGTATAGGTGGCCTTAAGAATTGAGTAAGGCCCCCAGCTGATAACTAGCATAGAGGGGGATCTATACCACAAGGAAATAAAATTAACTAACACCAAGAATGAGTTTGGAAATGGATTTTTCTCAGAGCTTCAAGGCAAAAATTCAGCCCAACCAGCACTTTGATTTCAGCATTTTGATAACCTTAAGCAGAACCCAGCCCTGTTACTGGATTTCTGATCTCTAGAACTATGAACTTAAAAAAAAAAAAAGAGTGTTCTTTTGATCTGTTGAGTTTGCAATAATTTGTTACACAGCAGTAGAAAATGAATATACAGACTGAATCTACTGCAAGGTTTTCTGAATTAAAATTTCTTTCTACTTGCATATCACTAGTATTTCAGGAGGAACCTGAGCAATATTAAAAAAAGGAAAAGGAGTTATTTAATTTCCTTTACTTGGTAGCTTATGCTAACACCAATGATCTATTCCTCTACAAAGCACTGTTATGAGCTAATAATGTGTACCAGTGATTATCATACTAATCAAACATCCTGGCTATGGAGTTAACCCCATCTGAATCCAAATCCTAGTCTAGACATTTATTTAACTGTGTGACACTTGGGCAATCATTTAACTTCTATTTCCTCATCTATAAAAATCAGATTGTCAGTGAAGATTAAATAAAATCACATTCATGAAAGGACCTACTACATATTAGCTGCAAATAAAAGCTAATTTTGTTCCTTTACCAAACCACTTCCAATTCTTCCCTTGATCTACTTTTTTGTTTGTTCTATTGCTTTTCCATAATATCATGTGATATCACTTTAGATGGTAACAAAAATAGCACAAATACTGAAAACTATTGAAAAAGTCATGGGAAATATTCTCCCACATACAGAGTAGGACTTTAGGAATTATCTTTATTAAACCAAAAGAAGTTTTGTGATAAATGAGTTAATAAAAATAATGAAATTTCAGCAACCAACCAGGTGTTAGGAAAAAACAGCCCAGACCACCTTGTTGGGATCCTGTAACTTTACTGGCTGTGACTCCCAGTTAATGTTAGTATGTTCGTGGACCAGTGTCATTGCCCCCAGAGCTGGAGGGATGAGGACGGAAGTGGGTGACAAGAGTCACACACACACATGCATATTACCTAGTACTTCCAGAGTGACTGTATCCTCTTCCAGGTTTTGGCCTTGCTCGGATGGGGCACTAACTTCACAACGATATTTCCCAGCATCACTTCTTGTCACATTTTTGATTCGTATACTGAAATCTATCATCTCAGCTCGATCTTTAAAATCACCTTCAGAAAATGAAGACAATAATGTTAGTAATAATGTAAGTAACTTTCTGTGCAACATCCTCCTTAAATCACTCCATTCAGTAACTAAAACACACATTTTCCTACCAGCAAGTTCACTTTTAAACCTTAAAAATTGTACATGCATGCTGTTACTTTAAATTTCTTTATTTAGCTGGGCATGATGGCACACTCTTGTGTCCCTGCTCCTCGGGAGGCTGAGACAGGAGGAACCCAAGTTTGAGACCCAACCTGGGCAACTTAGTGAGATCCTGTCTCAAAATTAAAAACAAGCAAGCAAATAATAAAACGTAGCTGAGGATGTGGCTCAGTGGTAGAGCACCCCTGGGTTTGATCTGTAGTACTACAAAAAAAAAAAAAAAAAAGCCTTTTTTTGAAGGATATTTTCTTAGATTGTTCAAAAAATAATTAATTTGACATTCCTGTATTTTAAAGAATTCAACCCAAACACCTACTGACCTCATTCCTTTTATAGTACCCTTGCAGAAGTTTTCCTGTTTTCAAAACAAACAGGAGACCCTGGTTTAATTGGTCAGAACAGTGACTATACCTATGGTAAGTCACATGATAGAACCAGAGAAGAAAAGGTGAAGGGAATGTGTTAAAAGGATTCATTTAATTAGATTTTGATAGTAATTGTATAAAGAATTAAAATAGGATTTTGTGTAATATGCAATTACCAGAATCAGCAACTGTAGAAAATTCAGGTGAAGATACCTGTGCTGCCAAAGTTCCGGGACCTACAGTCTTTTATCTTGAGAGATAGGAACCAGAGGGGACATTTATTTATTTATTTATTTATGCTGGGGATTGAATCCAGGAATTCTCTACCACCAAACTATATCTCCGGTTCTTTTTGTGTTTGCTTTGTCCTCCATGCTTCAGTCTCTGAAGTAGATGGGATTACAGGTATGCACAACTGCAACTGGCTAGAGGGGATACTTTCAAATTTCTATAAACTTTAAACATTTGTCCACTTAGTTATTCTCTCTCTCTCTCTTGCTTCTTTTTTTTTTTTTTCTTCCTTTCTTTTTACCTTTCTTCCCCAGCCCCAACTCAGAGTTGGGGGAACAAACCTAGGACCTTACTAATGCTTTTCAAGTGCTCTACCACTGAGCTGAACCCCAGCCCTCCACTTAATTCTTTAAAATTAAAGTAATACATAGCATTTAAAAAATAATAATGTGTTTATTATCTTGTTAAATTGTATTTCCAACTTTAACAATTTTTATATTGGAAAAACTCAAGCATATGCAAAAGTACAGAATAGAGGAAAATGACTCTCAGTGTACCCATGCCTCAGCTTTAACTGTAATGGATGCATGGCCTATCTTAATTCATATGTACCCGTAACCACTGGGTACTTTTTTTTTTTCCTTATGGTGCTGGGGATGGAACCAGGGCCTTATGCATGCGAGGCAAGCACTCTACCAACTGAGCAATATCCCAGCCTACCACTAGATACTTTTGAAGCAAATTAACATCATAGCATTTCATGCATTATTATCTCATTTTTAGTTAAAAGTACATCACATATTCAATAGGAGAATAGAGTAGAACTAAATGTAAAACAAATAAAAGCACTTGCTAATGGTTGTAATTACCCATCCATCGTCCAAACTCCCTAGGCTTCTCAGTTCTGGCCTTGCTTTCCAGAGGAACTCAAGGAAAGGTGAGGGTATTATTAAATGAGCAGTGATCCCTGCATCTCAGGGCCATACTACTTTTTCTTCCCTTTTCAATCTACTGGGCCAGGGAGAACAATTGCATTCTGTATCCTCTAGGACTGAGCTGAGAGATGGAGGGTCCAGGAACCCCCTGGAATTCACTTCACTGAAATTCTCTTCCTGTCCTTTATAGCTGTTGTGTTTTGGGTCTCAGACACTGTCGGTTTCATTTCACACTTACAAAAACACATTTTCAGTAATCAGTCATGTCCTGTTCTCATTTGTAATTTAAAGGATTTGGGCTGTACTTGGCATTCCCTTGCTCTGACCTCATCAAGACCACAGCGTCTTACCTTGGAGAGCCTGTTGATAGTAGACAAAGGAGACACTCCGCCCCAGTTTCTTCCACTCTAATCTGGAAGAAATGGTCTTCTTTGGGGTTTTGCAGGCTAAAATAACCTCTAGGACCAACAACAAAAACACTGGTTTTCTAATTATCCCTGCGAATTTATGTTTTATTTAACTAACAGTTTTTAAGCATTCTTAAATTGTGACTTTACATTCTATTTATTCTTTCTTTTTTTGAGCTAAACTAATAGGATACCCATTAATAAGTTACATAAATAAGTTAGTTAAAAGTACATTAATAATGGGTATTCTATTGGTTTAGCTCAAAGATGAATTGGAAGCATTACAACTCTTTCACAAAACTGTTTGACACTATTCTGCTTTTCCTAGTTATTGAGCCTGAGTTTCCATCAGTAAAATGAGACAGTACCTTATAGAGTCGTGAATTTTCAAGTGAAATAATATATGCAAAGCGCACAGACCCAAACATAGTAAGCACTTAACAAACAGCAGCTCTGATTAATTATTCATCAACTTATCCCCAGTTTCAGTCTTTGAGGAGTCTACAGTCTGGTAGAAGAGGCAAACAAGGTAAAGGCATTTCAGTCCAAAGGGGATGAGTATCAGATTTTGGGTTTGGAAAGAGCACGCCGCCATCTAGTGCCTAAGAAAGGCACTTAGTCTAGCCCAGGCTGCGTTGGGGAAACGCAAAGAAGTTCCTCCCAACTGGCTGTTACTGAAAGCTAGGATCTTGTCCCTGATGCCAATCCAACAATGAGGACGCAGTTTTGAGAAAAAGGAAAACCAAGTTATATTGCTTTACTAGCAAAGGAGAAACACAGGGGACTCCTATCCCAGAGGAAGAAACATGTCCATTTTAAAAATAAGTCACAGGGACAGAGCAGCAAGGGCTCTTATTCAAAGCATAAAGTGGACCACTGTTACAGCCACAGTCTCAATCAGATCTCTTGATTTGTAAGATGCCTTACAAATTACATTAATATGAACCCAAATGGCCCTCTAATAAATTGTTTATTCTTTCCCCTAAATGGCTGCCTGTAACCCTGTCTCAATTCAGATAAACTATTAAAAGACTTGATCTTGGCATCAAGTGTAACTACTCCAGTGTTGTTAAATTGACTTCATTACAGGAAATTTACTGCAGTTGCATCTTTAAGAAATTCCTGGAACTTCTGAAGGAGCCAACTCCTTTGACTGTCCAAACGAGATGATTGAGGGCAGGGAAACCCAGTGCTGGTTTGCATACTGTTTCAGCTTGCCAAAAAGAAACCTCCAGTTACATCTTTCAAGCATGTTCCAACCAAGCTTCTAGAATTCCAACTTCATATTTCTGGGAGTTTTTTCTCCCACAAGGCAAATTAAAAACACAGTATCTCTGATTAGAAGAAAAAGGTTAAAATCCTTCCTGTGTCTCGGAGTTTGATGTTAAACAAATCTAATGTCATTAAAGTTATTAACCCAAGTTTTATTCAAAATATACACATAGATATGGACAAAAAGCCTATAAGCACATATATAAAAATTATAACCCAGTAGTGATTTCTGTGTGATATAATGATAATTATTTTCTTTCTGTTATATGTAGTTTCCATTTTTTTTAGTTATATTCATTGCCAGAAATATAGAAGTAAAATAGAAGGAAATAGAAAATAGGGCAGAGAAAAGAAAGACAAGGAAGAAAAGAACCAAAAGTTGTTTTCAAGGATGCCTAAAGTTTCTAAAACACGTTTTACATCACAAAGAGATGTAATTTTATAGAGGTGTTTACAACTGTGCTACAAAGACAAACGTGTGCTGAGGGACCTGTTGGAGGAAACACAGCTCTTGCTCTGTTGATTAAGGAGACTGGGCGGTGACCTTCCGGAGTCTTGAGTTTTAGATAGGTTTCCTTCCCGTATTTTGTTGAGTTTTCCAGCAATTAAACACACACCCACACTCATTTTTTTTTTTTTTGAATATTCTACTGTCTTACTCCCATGTCTTAGGAATCATGTTGTACTCAATCATGTTGTTTCCTATATTTAACTAAACATACAAACATACATACATACATGCACACACAAAAACAAAACAAAAACATGCATTTTGATGAATTCTTCCTAATTCATATCCTTGTATGTTCTCAGTGCTCTGTGGGAAAACCTCTAAGGAAATTATGTTGGAAAATGTCACCAATGATTTTCCTAAGTCCAGTGACTTCATTCCAGCCTCTCTCTCATGTAGAGAACAGGTCTATGCAATTTGCCCAAAATATGTTGAGTACTTACTATGTGCTCAGCATTGCTTTTTGAGTTCTATCAGTGAACAGAGCAATGATTCCCTGTCCTTTGGGATCTTACAACCTAGCAGAAGAAGTCAGGCAGAAAAAAGCAACATTATACAAGTGAATTCTATTGCATGTTGGATGGTGATGAGGTGCTGTAGGGAAAAGAGAGTACAGCAGAGTTGGGGAAGTTTGGGAGTGCCAAGGACAACGATGCAGTTTTTTAAAAGAGTAGTCAAGTTTACCTCTTTTACAAGGTGACATCTGATCAATGATATAGAAGATGGTCAGAATATGTATTGTGGTAGGCCCAGGGAACAGCCAGAGCCTATACCCTAGGGTGCCATGCCAATACCTTGATTTTGAATTTCTAGCCCCTAGAACCTAGAGGAAATATGTTTCTGTTATTTTAAGTCACCTGGGTTGTGGCATTTTCTTATGGCAACTCTAGAATATGAATACAAATGAATCTAAAAGCTAATTCTCATGGAATCTCCTTTCTCTCTTTAGCCAACAGTCAACACTCAAGGCCAGGACAATTTTTGGTATTCTGCTTTAGGGTTATTGTCACATAAAAATATAGTACTTTATAGCACAGGTTTTGAAATTAAACCTTTGCCCTATACTGGATATATGATGAGAAAATTACTTAATTTTTTTTTGGAACATTATAAAATAATGTTCTAAAACTATAAAATAAATAAAAATAATAGTACTCATCTCACAGAGTTGTAAAGATTAAATGAGATAATGAAGTTATATACAGGGTGTACATGGTGTATTATATATAGTATGTGGTACATACATGGTCATTATTATTTTCACACATGGGGATCTTCTCTTTAAATGTACTTGCAAGCTTGACATGATAGAAACCCACATGTTATATCATCACAAATCAGATTTGAACTGAAATGTTATCTCTGTTTTAGATGGCAAAGAAAACAATGTCAACATAAATCACACTTTTCAATACAAGACATATTAAAACAGAAAAATGTGCCAAGTTTCTTAATCAAGGCACTTATTTCATTGCCAAAACTACTGTTTCATTTAGATGAAGAAAAGATAAATGTTTATTTTATTTATTTAATATTTTTTATTGTTGATGGACTTTATTGTCTTTATTTTTATGTGGTGCTGAGGTTCGAACACAGTGCCTCATGCATGCTAGGCGAGGACGCTACCACTTAGCAACAACCCCAGCCCAAGATAAATGTTTATTAAAAAAATTAACAAAATAATTACTTATAGGAGTAAGAATCATTATGAATTTTATTTTTTCTAAGGTTATTTATTGCTACCTTTTGAGTTTATTCTCTGTGGTCATGTTTAAAAATATATCAAATTCTACATAGAACAAAAAGAATTGATACTACTAGAGTAGTTCTGAAAAATTAGCATAAATTACTTCTGGGAAGACATGCTTCAGAGTTGGATCCCCTCTATAGAAGTCCACTCACATAATTTTATAAGCCTGACAGATCTGCCCTGGTGTCGGGTTCTTTCTGCTTTTGGTATTGCCCTGGAAAGTGATACAGAATAGCTACACTAAAAGAAAGAATTAATTCATACTTTTGACATTAGAAAAATAAGAGATTAGAAAAACTCTGAACAAAATGGGTAGGACACATATACAAACATACAAACCACCAAATAGTACAGATCTTAAGTAAAATTAAGTCACTGCATAAAATATCATAAAAGGTGAATGAAAATAGGAATTTATTTTTGCATTATTGAGAGCCAAATTGGAATAATCAGAGCACATATAAAATAGAATTAAAATGCAATTCTTAATTAGAAGGAGCAGAGGTGAAACAAGAAAATAGAAATTTATTTTGGAGTGAAAGTAACTTTTTTTTTTCTTTTGGTGCTGGGGGTTGAACCCAGAGCCTCGCCCTGCTAAGCATGTGCTCTACCACTTACACCCACAGCCCTGAGACTAACATTTGATTGCAATAAATTATGGAAGGATTTTCTATATTAAAATAAAGCATGCATTAAAAAGTAATGTAAATGGACACAGGATTTCATTTTGGAGTGTTGGAAATGTTCTGGAACTAGGTAGAGGGGGCACTGCACAGCAATGTGAATATACAAAGGCTTCTGAATTGTTCATTTTAAAAAGATGAATTTTAGGGGCTGGGGTTGTGGCTCAGCAGTAGAGTGCTCGCCTAGCATGTGCGTCGAGACGCTGGGTTGATCCTCAGCACCACATAAAAATAAATAAATAAAATAAAGGTATTGTGTCCAACTACAACTAAAAAATTTTTTTAAAAAAGGATGGATTTTGTTATGTGAGTTTTGCTGCAATTATTATTATTTTTTTTAAGCAATGATGATTAAGGACTGTAATTTTGACGTCCTAATTCAGATATTAGGGCATCGGGCCTGAGGGTAGGGAAGTACAGCCACTGCGGCCAGCTGGATCCAGGAAAGTGAGAAACAGCAGAAATGAACTTCACTTCCTTTGTCCCTCAGGGACATGCTGCTCCATTTTTCCTCTCTCACTGTGCTCCCTCTTTTGGCCATTCCAGGCTGCTTTTTGGCATCTTACTCAACCTATTTATCTTTCTGCAAGTACTCCAGAGTCCAAGTTACTTCCAACCATTAATTTCCTCTTTCCACTTCTCCTTACTTAAAACTAACTTACAATAAAGGGTGTCTTATTAGCTTAGTCATGTAAAACATTGGAATTAAAAGGACTTAATTAGCCTAAAAATTATTTAAGTGACTTGTTACTAAGTGATTTGTTGTTTTTGAATAATGGACTAGTTTTTATAACATTTTTTTACTTGTCAAGCACGTATAACGTGTGTGTTAGACACTACTGTAAGCACCATATAAATACTAAGTCGTGTTCCAGGTCTCTTCTCTCATCTTTGACCCTTTCCTTCAAACTGTCTCCAACTTCAGGAAGAAAACATTCCTGAAGACAAGAGAGTAGGTGTTTGGGACCTGTGTCTTAAGTGTTTACAATCTCTGACATAAACAAACATTGCATTTAAGAAAGACTAGTTATTCTGGTTTCTTTGTATTATTCATTGTGTCCTAAGGTCAAAAAAAAAGGATGGTCGATATTTGAAGTACACTTATAAAAGCCTCTATATACTATTTGGGGGTAATTATTAGTTCTTTAAGTATTTTTTAACTGTAACAAAATACATACTAATCCCTGCATTTATAAATAAGAAAATGGCACTTCAAAATAGAATACATTAATGTCATCTTAAATACTTAGTTGGGGTGTTAACTTCCATTAACCTTCTTCAACTGGTTAAAATTTTTCTTAAGATCTCTCTCTGTTTTGCAAAATAGATTTTGTCACAGATAATTTATGTTATAGGAGACCTTCTATGTACATCTGGCCTTTATTGATGATTCAGAATGTTTACTGAGGAGGTAGAGAAAGTGTTATAAATGTGGAAATGCATGGAATATTTCAGGCAAAAGAATTAGTGTGGGGTGAAAGAGAATATGTCAACAAATATAAAAATAATATCACCTGTTACCCTCATGAGTCATTTAAACATTACAGCCTGTAAGAATTGGTAAATACCATACCTTGGTACTCTATAGCTGTGACAACTTGATGGTCTTTGGGGGCAGATAATCCATAGGCCTTATGATCTGAAAAGTTAGAACAGATAAGATAATTAAAATAGTATAAAAATTAGTTTTCAAATGTTTAAAGGAAATACCATTTTAAGAACAATGGCCTAGATTGGGGGATAGATTTATACATAATATATAGGTTTTAAAATATCAAAATAGAAAAAGCAAGCTATACATGTCACTTCCATTTTATTATGGTTTTGGACTTCAAGCATTTCCCAAAGCTAAACCTATGAATGTATTCGCACCCCTCCACATACAAGCCATTCTCACCAGCCCCACTGAAAACAAGAGCTCATGTCTTTATGTCCTTAATTTATCTTAATATGCAGCCTATGTCCACCCACCCATCCATTCATCCATCCATCTAGAAACCACTTTTCTGACTCAACAATCCCCTTTGTATATAATCTTACATCCTCTCATTGACTCTACCATTAATACCTACATCCATATCTCCAACTCCAATCTCTTTTCCCATGGAGTCCCTCCTGCCATGTTTCTGCTGGACATCTGTATCTCCATTTCCACAAAATTGTGAGCAAAAGATGAACTCTTCAGTTTAAGCCCAAATGTTATTTCTAAAACTGGTAACTCTAAGGTTCTTCAAACAAGCCTAAGTTCAGACCGGTGGTTACCTCATTATAGTGAAAGGCATCACAATCCACATGGTCACTCTGGCCAGAATCTTAGGCACTGCACATGATACCTCCACCCTCTCATCCATTCACTCTAAGTTTCCATCTATGGACTGAGAATTGTGCATCAACCAGGATAATGTTTTGAAAGATTGTCCTTTTTCTCTTTGCCCCCTCCCACCTTTGTAACTGCTCCTTGCCCCAAGGAAGGGATACAGATAGCTAAAACCAGAGAGAGAGAAACAGGGCACTTCTTGCCTTGCCACATTAAAACCCTGACCTTGAAAGAAATGTAAAAAAAAACCATAGATCATGCAAAACATTTACAAGAAACCATTGTGACTGAAATATATCTGCTCCACAGACTTGGAGTAGAGAGGAGGAAGTGAGTTGGAGAACATGAATCTTGGCAGATTGTTGAGAAAGAAAAATAATAGCAACATTTATTAAGTACTTAGATGTCAGGCAACATCCCAAGCACTTTACAAGTATTAATTCACTTAGCTCTCACAAGAATTATCTGCGGCTGGGTACCATGTTTTATCCACATTTTTTTCTCAAGTGTGAAAACTGAAGCACAGAGAGAACAAGAAACTTAATCAAGATTCTATGAGTAGTACATGGTGGAGCTGGAGTTTGAACTCAGCCTGTCTGCACCCGCAACACACATGGTTAATTACTTTATTATACCTGTACTACACCCTGTTTCTCCCAAGCTGAACTATGAACAAGAACTGCCAATTAACAAAGATGCCACATGGAAAGATACATTGGTCTAACGGAGGAAGGAAAGACTGGGAAATTGGTTATAACAAAGGCAAAGGACTCACTCTGAAGCACAACACAGGTGGAAGATAAGAGGCTGTGACTAGGGAAGCCAGACACCAAAGGATTCCCAGAGGGGAGGCTCTGAAGCAGGGTTTCTCAATATTGATACCATTGACCTTTAAGGTTGGATCATCCCTTATTAGAAGAGATTGTCCTGTGCACTACAGGATGTTGCGCAGCATCCTGAGCTTCTCCCCACGCAATGCTAGAAGCACCAACCATCTCCAAATCATGACGACTAAAAATGTCTGTAGACATTGGCTAAGAATCACTGTTCTGAGCTTAGTTAGGCTGGTTTGAAGAACCAGTCATAGAAATAAGCCAATATACTAAAGGACAGCAAAGAACTATGAGTTCAAAGATTTTGAAAGTTCCTATGAAATCAGAATTTCACAACTGCTAGAGTCTGTAAACAAGTCAAGATGGCGCCTGGCATTTTGCAGAGGGAGTGGTTTGTGAAGTAACGCCAGCGAGCCATTA